TCTAGAAGCAGTATCTAGTCTTCTGCCAAAGTTATGTATGTTTTCTCCAAAATATTTTATCTTTCTTTTGCAGTACTTAGACCTGTCAGCAGTATATAGTCTTCAGAAAGTAGTATTTAGTCTCCACAAAGCAATTTTAGTCTTTAGAAAGTAGTATTTAGTGTTCCAGATGCTGTATTTAGACCTGTCGGCAGTATCTACTCTTCAGAAAGCTGTATTTAATCTTCCAGAGCAGTATCTAGTCTTCAGAAAGCAGTATTTAGTTTTTTAGGAGCATTAGATCTTTTTGGGAGCCTCTTGTTATCTATATGGATCTTGTACCACCCAATACCTCATTTCTGCAACTCTTACTTTGGTTTTGTGCTTATCCTGCATTGGCAAAGTTTCCGTATTGGTGATTTCCTGTCTTATGCAATAACTAGACAATTCTTCGCATTCTTTTATTGAACACATAAGTATTGCCATGAAAAATCATGTTTGGTTTATAATCAATTTTTTGTTTTCTCTGAACAGTATGTGGACTTTGAACAATGTAATTCCTGTTTTTTGCTGAAGTCTAGTTTATAACTATTGCAATTTCAGACTTTTTCTTGCAAATTAACCTTCTGACCAGAGTATTCCCGACTATTCCCTTAAGTTTGGTTTTTCACCAGTATAATTCTTAAATTTTTGCTGAAGTGTGGATTAAAGTATGGGGAAAATTCATTCGGGTTTAGCCGTCTTAAGAGACGTGCGGCTAAACCCGAATGTTTCTAGTTCTAGGTTTGTTATATTGAATTTTGAAATTCTTTGTGTAGATTATTGATGAACCGTTTTGTTAAATATCGACGTTTATTAACAAACCAAAGTCACCGTATCCTCCTACAGAATTCTACGTGTAAACCTAAATTTTTGCGGTTAGCTTTAAAGCGTCCCGTCTGTTCCAACGCAAAAGCTGCGACTTTAACGAGGAAAGTTTTGACACGAGGTCAGTTGAAAGCTCTCGTGTCCGGTTAGATTTCGAAAAGTTTCCGCTATGTTTTGATATTGAACGTGTTCTGTGGTAAAAGCTTTCTAAACGGTTTGTTTTTGAGATGAAATTTGCTACATTACAGTTTAATCTCATAGTTTCCTTAAAAAAAATTATTATTATTCCCACTTGGCGGTTTAGATGGAAATTTTAAATTGTATTATTTCGATATTAACCGCGTTTCTACGCAAAGAAACAAAGGTAATATTAAATTCCACCTCGAAAAACGACATCTTTATGGACTCGAAACCGTAAAATAGCTCGTCTGGCATTTTGCGAAATACTCCGGCTAATGGAGAAAGATATTGGGGGGTAACATGCAATTGGAGTATTATTTTCCAGGGGGAAAATAGCTATATTAACGTTTCTTTGCGTGTAATCGCTGTTTATTTTATTTTTTATTTTAGATCGTAAGATTTTTTTAATGTACTAGAAAGACAATTGGGGTTTAAATTAAAAAAACCTTGTTAATTAAAGCGTTGCGTTGTGCTAAATTTAAAACGCTTCTTTCTTTCTTGGCCGTTTCGTTGTTCACATTCGGAATTAGGTCGTTAAATATTCATTCGTAACGCGTTAGAATGAGCAAGTGGTCCTAATTTGCGGTTGATACGTATTCATAGTGTCGTAGTCGTCGTCAACGAGTTGAAACGGCAGGAATTAAATTATCGCCCCGTTGAGCACATTTTCAGCTTTTGGACAACGCGTCTGGGCGAAAGGGGCCATTAATTATAACCAACCTGAAAACGGTTTTCGGTACTAATTAAATTTTCGACCAACGGCTTCCTCGACAAAGGCAAATTCCCTGTCTGGTAAAACAGAAAATCTTNTGGCAATGGATCCCGAGTGTACAAATTATTTCTACCATCAAAGACCGGTTTTAATGTCCCAAAGATTTTTGTGTATGCATGAACCATTGTTTCTATTATTTCGCGATTAACCTACAATCATAAATTTAATTAAAATTTATTGGGGGCTTTTATTGATATAATATTACCTTTCTCGGGCATTTGTCTGGTTGTATATTGACGTCGTAATGATGAACAAAACCTCTGGGCATTGTGATTTGGAAGTGGTTTGCTCTGAGGCCGATTGGCCGACCTTCCCGGCCCAAGTTCGGCCTTCGTGGGCATTGGAAATGTGGGGGATCTGTTGGTGGGGCCACAGTTGCCAAAGATGGACCTGCTGTTCCTGGGATGGCCACTGCTGTACTTGTTGTACCAATTGGGGTGGTTGGTTGACCAGCTAAATAATAAATAAATTTAATTTTATTTACCATATTTCTTAAAGAATTAATTATTACACATTAATCATCTAAAATAATCACTTTAATGATAAATTACAATTACAAATTAGTTATTTGAAAAAAATAACTAATTTGGAGAAATCTATACCTGATGCCCTACCCCCTCTTTAAATGTTATATTCGGATCCACCTAATTTAGTGCTTTATTTCAGAATTTTGTGTAAAAATTTCACTTTAAGTTAGGTTAATTAACATTTAAACCAGTGCAAGTTTCTTAAATGTTGGGTTGGGCATGGATCGCACGGCTAAACGCTATACTTACTAGTTCTAGGTATAGTGTTAGTTCTAGTGTAAAACTAATTTGTTAGTTCTAGTGTAAAACTAGAACTAACACTAGACCTAGAACTAGAAACGTTCGGGTTTTGCCGCACGCCTTTCAAGACGGCTAAATCCGAATGATTCTAGTTCTAAGTCTAGTGTTAGTTCTAGTTTTACACTAACACTATCACTAGACGGCTAAATCCGAATGATTCTAGTTCTAGGTCTAGTGTTAGTTCTAGTTTTACACTAACACTATCACTAGAACTAACACAAATCATTCGGATTTAGCCGTCTTGAGAGACGTGCGGCTAAATCCGAATGATTCTAGTTCTAGGTCTAGTGTTAGTTCTAGTTTTACACTAACACTATCACTAGAACTAACACAAATCATTCGGATTTAGCCGTCTTGAGAGACGTGCGGCTAAATCCGAATGTTTCTAGTTCTAGGTCTAGTGTTAGTTCTAGGTTTAATTATTATGCAGCGCTAGACCAAGAACTAGAATCATTCTAGGTTAGTTCTAGGTATAGTGTTAGTTCTAGTAACAGTGCAAGTGTAAAATTAGAACTAACACTGGAGTAAAACGCCAGTAATTGACCGTTTTTGTAAAAAAATGTCAAAAATAAGGATCCAAGGAATATCTAAAAAAAATAAATCTATCCTACTACGCAAAAAGTCCCACAACCATACCCTTCTTGAGTTCTTGTTGTTTAATTTCGCGTTAACTGTCGGCCTATTCACATCGTGCTAAAAAGGGTAATTTTTATGTTTAGAAATTCGACCAAACAAGGTAGTATCTATTCAGCCGTTTTTGCAT